GTGTCGTGAGCTTAGAGCAAATCCGACCGTTCCGCAAATGGGAAACCTACCACCGGAAAGAACAACCCCGTTCGTGTTCCCGTTTACATGTACGGGTATTGATTATTTTGGACCGTTGCCTGTAAAAGTTGATCCTTTAAATTTGTCGAACCTCTTAACGGAATCCCTTAATGAAGAGCTTTGAGTCTTCTCCTTCTTCTTCTTCTTCTTCGCATTTCAAGCTTATTGCATATCGCATATTAGCTTATTGCGTGCTCTCAACTTAGTGTTCTAGATGCACTTCCACAGTTATTAATTGAGAGCTTTCGATGCCTGTACCATTTTTGCATTGGTATAATTGTGTGGCAAGTCCAATCATACTTCTATGCCCAGGGAAGTCGAGAAATTTTCCAACCCGAAAAATTCCTAGACCGGACCGGGAATCGAACCCAGCCACCTCCAGCATGGTCTTGCTTTGTAGCTGCGCCTTTACCGACTGAGCTAAGGGAGGCCCCGAAAAGCTTTGAGTGGGTTGGTTTATTTCCTTTTAATTCCGTTATAATTGCTTATCTTTTGACAGAAAAATAGGTGGGTAGTATTGTTCACGTGTATGAAACCAAGAGCTGTACACCTTGAAGTCGTGCCATCTTTAGACACGGGCAGCTGCATCCGCCATCCACTGTTTCATGTCCATCCGTGGCTTACCACAGTGCATCATGACCGACAACGGTACCAACTTTACTGGTGCAGATGCTGAACTGAAGCAACTGGTAAGAACTCTGGATCAGCCGCAGATTGAAGATTCGCTGAGCGTCAGAGGTGTTGAGTGGAAGTTTACTCCACCTCGTGCTCCACATTTCGGAGGTTGCTGGGAACGTTTAGACACCCTACGGACTTGGTGCTGTGTATTGCTTTGTGCGAGGCAATGAAGACCGTAAACAACAGACCTTTGACACACGTTCCGGATGACCCCCTGGACCCTGAACCGATAACACCAAACATATTACTGCTTGGCCGAAACAATTCAATCCAGTTCGACCATAACTTTGATGAACGAGATCTTAACTGTCGTGCTGCCTACAAGCATTCTCAGATTTACGCGGATCGTTTCTGGCACAGGTGGATAGCCTCGTTCCGTCCGGAGTTGATCAGAAGCCGCAAGTGGCCGGACAGCAGGAATTATCACGTCGGTGATCTAGTGATGATAGTGGACGAATCGCTACACCGAGGAAGCTGGCCAAAAGGAGTTGTAGCGAAGATCTACCAAGGACGGGATGGAAAAATGAGAACAGTTGCAGTGCGGACATCAAAGTCGACCTACAACCGGTTGTGCTGCTACAGGCCATCAGCTCGGTTCCTGGCACGGAGAATGTTGCTAACACTGCCAGTCGGAACTTTTCTACTCGGGAGTCGTCACGCCGTCAACCGAAGTGAAAAGAAGTTTAGAAATGTGTCCGTTACGAGTAGAAATAAAATAGTTTAATTAAAAAGCAATAGAAGTTGTTTTTAGTGAAAAACATTAGTACCGTAGGAGTGAAGTGGAAAGGTTGATCTGCGTGTCGAAAGTATACTCTGTGGTTCGTATCACTGGTCGCACTGCGGAAAACCTGATTGGAGCAAAACTGACGCTCTTTCCCCCGACAAACGAACATTCTGGCCAGGACTTCTCTCGATAGCCTGGACACGCTTCTGCAGACAGGTGAGCAAACACCCGGCCGTCAACGACCAGGACGATTGCTACAATTGCTGTGCGTTAGTTCTTGGATGGTTATCGAGTACGTGTTCGCGATTTCTTGTCTAGTACATACATACATTTATTTGTACAACATCACATTTAAGATAAGACATTATCAACAATAGTAAGCCACAATACTCGGTTTGCGGCTGCCGCTCTCCACCCTCGGTCATGCTCTACCTGGTCCGCCCATCGTGCTCTCTGCGCTCCACGCCTTCTTGTGCCAACCGGATCAGTAGCGAACACCAACTTTGCAGGGTTGTTGTCCGGCATTCTTGCAACATGCCCTGCCCACCGCATCCTTCCGGCTTTGGCCACCTTCTGGATGCTGGGTTCGCCGTAGAGTGCAGCGAGCTCATGGTTCATTCTTCGCCGCCACTCACCGTTCTCCTGCACACCGCCGAAGATCGTCCTTAGCACACGTCGCTCTAAAACTCCGAGTGCTTGCAGGTCCTCCTCGAGCATAGTTCATGTCTCGTGTCCATAGAGGACCGCCGATCTTATTAGCGTTCTGTACATGGTACATTTGGTGCGGGGGTGAATCTTTTTTGACCGTAGTTTCTTCTGGAGCCCGTAGTAGGCACGACTTCCACTGATGATGCGCCTTCGTATTTCACGACTCACATTGTTGTCAGCCGTGAGTAAGGATCCAAGGTAAACGAATTCCTTCACTACCTCGAAAGTATCCCCGTCTATTGTGACATTACTTCCTAGACGAATGCTGTCATGTTCGCTTCCGCCTACTAGCATGTACTTTTTTTTTTTGAGGCACTCACCACCAGTCCGACCTTTGCTGCTTCCTGTTTCAGGCGGGTGTATAGTTCTGTCACCGTTCCAAATGTTCTTGCGATAATGTGCATGTCGTCCGCAAAGCACACAAATTGACCGGATTTCGTGAAAATCGTACCCCGGCTGTTGAGTCCGGCTCGTCGCATTACACCTTCTAGAGTGATGTTGAAGAGTAGGCATGAGAGTCCGTCACCTTGTCGCAGTCCCCGGCGAGATTCTAATGAACTGGATAGTTCACCCGAAACCCTTACGCAGTTTTGCACACCGTCCATCGTTGCTTTGATCAGTCTGATCAGCTTCCCAGGAAAGCCGTTCTCGTCCATGATTTTCCATAGCTCTGTGCGGTCGATACTGTCGTATGCCGCTTTAAAGTCGATGAACGAATGATGCGTTGGGACCTGGTATTCACGGCATTTCTGGAGGATTTGCCGTACGGTGAAGATCTGGTCCGTTGTCGATCGGCCGTAAATGAAACCGGCATGATACCTTCCCTCGAATTCGGTCATTTTAGGTGATAGACGACGGAAGATGATCTGGGATAGCACTTTGTAGGCGGCATTCAAAATGGTGATCGCTCTGAAGTTCTCACATTCCAAATGGTCGCCTTTCTTGTGAATGGGGCAGATTACCCCCTCCTTCCACTCCTCCGGTAGTTGTTCTGTTTCCCAGATCCTGACTATCATCCGGTGCAGGCAGGTGGCCAACTTTTCTGGGCCCATCTTGATGAGTTCGGCTGCGATACCATCCTTACCAGCTGCTTTGTTGTTTTTGAGCTGCTGAATGGCATCCTTAACTTCCCTCAGCGTGGGAGTTGGGTCAGATCCGTCCTCTGCTGCACTGACGTAGTCGTTTCCTCCCGTGCCTACGTTCTCCTCGCCATTCAGGTGCGCATCGAACTGCTGCTTCCACCTTTCAATCACCTCACGTCCGTCCGTCAAGAGGCTCCCGTCCTTATACTTGCACAGTAATAAATGTAAATTTGGCAAGATCGTCGAGAAGCTTGGAAAACTTCGTTATACGGTGCGATTGGATGATAGTCGAATCTGGGAGCGTCACATTGACTACGTCGTCGGTGTGGGCGCGTATCGGAGGAACCTCCAAGAGAGGAGTACATCGAACTCGACGGACCTACAACTTCGGCTGCTGCGCCTGTGGCCCAAGCTGTTGCGAATCCTGTTGAGGAAGCTATTGCTACAACACCGGTGGTTCCTTGCGCTACGCCTGCTGCTACGACGATGATGTCTACTCCTGGACCCCATGAACGTTCCTCGGCTGCCGTGGCCGGTCGGAGGCTGCCCCGACGTTCCAGTTGGGTAATCGTACCTCACCAAAGATTGAATTTGTAATTTCTTTTGCCTAACCTACTGTAACTAGCTTTTTGGAAATGGATGAATTGATTAGCTTAGATTGAATTTCATGGCATACCAGCAAATCGATTGGAACTTTGAAATTCATCAAAAACATAGTATCCTGAACAATTACGTTTTCATCGTTCACATGTTGAATATAATCTGGGAAATGTTTGTTCAGCGCAAGGAAATATTGACACAGTTTGTAGCTTATGAAAACACTTTCCTGATGACTTGAAATGCTGAGTAATGTGAACTTAACGAAACTAGCCTTTAAATAAGATTCGCTTTACCGGTGCACTTGCAGTGTAGCTGCAAAACTTTACGTAATATCGCATTTCAACTGCTTACGAAACACGAAAAAAGAACTACTAGGTACTGTCGTTATAAGAGAGCCATGCACTGATTTGCTTTGTTTACCCAATTGTCACCGAGGGGTGGTAATCGAGGGGTGACTACGAGGTGCCTTTGACAGACCTAGCTGTTAATGTGTACGAACATTCATATTTTTGACGTCTGTGATTTCTATATGGGGGTATATTTTGTGAAAACCGAAAATGGACCATGTAACAAAATTATGAAAGATTTTGAACGTTAATAGCTCAGCTGCCCCTGGACCAATTTCAAAAATTTTATCACCAATCGATCATAAATATTTCTACGCATCTGCTCAATTCACTATTGAAAATTCCACAAATGTGCAACTGCTGCTATGATTAAAATTATCACCGATTGCCTGCGAAAAGCGATTTCCCTAACACAGATTGTAAAGTTGAATTCCTTCCAGTCTCGCCAAACGGTGTTTGTTCAGTCACTGCGTGGTGAGTGATGGTGTTCTCCAGTACACAACGAAAGGATGCCTGCAAGCAACGAGCTTCAGCTCACATGAGCATCCATAGAAGGAGGAAGAAGCTGCAGAACTATTGATCGGAATCAGTAGCTCTTCGTGAGTCGCTGTGGGCCATCTATGTCAAGCGCGTCGTACTAAATTCCTACACAAAACACAAGCTCCTGCTGCAGTTAACAAATAACATTTATTATATAAGACCACGAAGGCCTACGTCACCATTGCGTACAACCCCATAGGGCTGTCCCTTGTAGTTTTTTTTTTAAATTAAAACGCAATTATTCTCCCAATCTCCTTCCAGATTCAACCAGTGCTTCGGCGTGCTGGGAGTGTTGGATCGCCTGCACGGCACGGACACTCTGTTCCGCAATACCAAGGCCTACGCCCGTCACATCATGATGCTGAGCTTCATGCCTGCCCGGGAAGCGTTTCCGGAACCGGCCAAAAAGGCATTCTAAGAGCAATTGTGCGTATATTTTTTTTTCATACATGTGTCTATGATGTACTGTTCGGACGTAGCATAGCTACTACCAATACTACTACTATGTACTACATTGCTAAATACCTACCACAAACACACACACACACCACTACTAGATATATACAACATTCGATGGAGGTATGTATGATGGGGATCGATCGAATCAACGATCAACAGGAATGCGGGTTTGGAATTTAGGAAATCACAACACTCTAGCACTGGCTATCCCATAGCTAATTGGAGGATATGATATTGTAGTTAAAAAAAACATTCAATGCGCCACAGTGCGGCTTATCGTGTTTTGCACACCGACTATTCAAACAACGCTAAATCAATGCTATTTACAGTTTTATTTCAAGATAGTTATATTTCTAAACTGTATCCAAAGGCATCAACTGTTCCAACCTCACTTTTTTTTTTAAATTATGAATAAAATAACAGAGGAGAAAGTGAGGTTAGAAAAGTTTTTGCATTTGTCCACTTGAACTTGATTGAGATAGGTAAAATCGAGAATGACGACGAATGCATATTGCAGCAGCAGCAGCAGCAGCAGCAGCACCAATACAATTATTGACACGCATACATACACACATACACCACAAGACTGTGATTAGACGAAAAGCAAAAGCAAACGCGCCTACATCTATTACGATTTATAATAGAGACAAATGATGAGGCTGGAAGTCCCGTTGGGCGGAAGAAGCAGAATGCATAATATTTCATTCAAATCCCCTTCATTTACTGAAAATCATTTTCTCATCTTGACATTCTACACCAAAAAAAAAAACATGCAAAACTATATATTTTCAATGGATTTAGAGTATGGAAAATACATGAATAATCTTCTCAGTGTAATAACACAGTTCGATTTGTAGAGAAAGCCTTGCTACCCGTTTCACTCGAACAACGGTACGAAATCCGCCAAACTGTCGGCGTAGAAGTCCGCAGTGCAGGTCAAATCCTTCGGCTGCATCATATCCTCCTGGGTGGCCCCTCCGGACAGGACCAACAACTTCTGGAAGCCGCACCGGCTGGCAAATGCCACATCCTGCTCCATCATGTCGCCCACGAAGAGCACCCTGCGAGGATCCTCGATTCCGTACAGGGTCTTAACTTGCTGGGCCAGTTGAACGCCCGGTTTGCCCAGGACGGTAGCCTTCCGTCCGGTGGATTGTTGCAGCACGTCCAAGAAATGACCCGGACCGATCAGATTGAAATCGCGCTTGGCATGCAGCACTTTGTCCGTTGCCCCGGCGATCAACAGACAGTCTGGGTCGTTCTTTAAGTACAACTCGGCTCGCATCAGCTTCGGATAGTTGATGTTGAAGTCAACGTCCACCACGACGGCCCGGACCGGTGCCCGGTCATGAATGGTGGCGATTATCTTCTTGAAGGATTCCTCCAGGGGATCGTCCGGGCCATCGATTAACTTGAATCCGGCATCGGTGAGTACGGTTTTGAAGGGGGCGGTAGCCATGCAGTAAATCAAACCTTGGAAGTCGATCGATTTCAGGTGACGGACTATGGCGAGCGCCGGGTGGACTATGTCGAATGGGGTTAGAGTTGTGCCCAGGGTTCGGAACTGAGCAGCGTAGTGATCGAACGTACGGACGCTGTTGTTGGTGATGTAGCGGAGCGTTTTGCCGTGCGAGCGGAGGGTAGCCAGGGCGTCGGCTATTCCCGGGATGGGCTCGAAGACGGTCCACAGGACGCCTGGATTGGATGGGGGAGGAGAAGACAGACGGTTACTTTTCAATGGTGAATCGGCCTTATTTTTGATTGCATTTGTAATTTATTTTGCATAACCTACTGTAACTAGCTTTTCGGAAATGGATGAATTGATTGGTTTGGTTTCTTGGGCAATATATATCAATATTGTAGGTAATGGCTGGAACTGTTTGAAGAAAAAATATGCACACTCTACTTAGGGTCACATTAAGAAACCGAAAATGAAACTTGTGACGAAAATGGGGGGTGTTTTCAAACGCATATTTTTCCAAAGCATTAATGTGAAATATATCATGCAATATGCTATTAGACGGGATACTTATCCAGCAATTTTGTGGCATATAGTACAAATAGTGAAAATAGTTAAACAACTAAAAAAAATTAACTAAAATTGGTAGCATCAAAATTTCCCATAGATTTGGTTAGACCACAAGGTGTCTATCCTAACAGAGACATCACATAGTCGGTACCAAACGAAAGAAGCCGAAGCCGCATTTCCTTTCGAACTTCGGACGTGTTCATATCGTTCATCACGAAGCATCTCAACACAGGACAGTCTCTGCTTGACCGTCAAGCAGTTCAGTTCGGTTTTAGTTGGTGCTGTCGAGTTGTTCGGACAGTTCGCGATTTTGTGTGTGTGAGAGTGCCCCGAAATGGTGAAGCATCGCTCGCGAAGCCCGGTGAAGGCCCAAGACCTCGGTGAAGGAAGCTCGGGTGTAACTACAGTGAACAGGTTTGCTGTTCTTCCCATCGATGGGAATACCCTGCCACCTGTGCCAGTGAAACGCAGCAAGCAAATGAAGAAGAATCGGGCCAGTCCGATGGCACGATTGGTCGTGACGAACGGCAGTTAAATTGGAGATTTCGGTGACGCTGCCGAAATGAGCGCTACATTGTTGGTAGTGAACAATGCCCATCTTAACGAGCTCACCGCATATCTGGCGTCGCTGGGCATTAAATCCGAATTAAAGCGGTTGTAGTATGGCGTACAAAGTAGTGTTTTTGTTGAGTTGTGCTGTGAAAATAAATTAATAATTTCGTGTGAAATAGTGGCGTGTGCCGCGAAAGGATTATTCCAACGCGTGCCCGTGGTGTTTTTCTAACAGGATAAGTAGAGGAAAGGTTGCCTAGCAACTAGTTTTTGTTTAATTTTGTATTTTCCCCCCGGCGCGCTATTGATTTGTATAGTGAGCTGTGGCGGTAAAATTTTATTTTGTGTTCTCCTCCCCTGTATATGTCTGCTGCTAACAGTGTTAGCGTTTAATTTGGTAGAATGGATGTGTGTAATGTATGCGAGCAGTCTATTGCTATGAGTGGGCTCCCAGTTACGTGTGTAGGTCCGTGCAATGGAACGTTCCATTTCGCTTGTGCGGCACTCACTAATAGCGAATTTGTTTATTATTCAGTTCCAACCTGGATCGGGTATCAAGATCGGGTCTGCTTGTTTTCTTGCAAACGTCAGTTTGATCGTTTGTTTTTAAAACCTAGCTCAGGTTGAGGTTCGCACTGACAAAAAGTTCGGTTTCGCACTGGGTTGGAACTGGTTCCAACCCCGATAATAAACAAATTCGCTATAAGACTGCGGCCAGGCTTATAGCAGATAATGCAAATATTCTGTTCAAGTGTGATAGTTGTCTATCAGATCAGAGTTGTGGCGAGCAGAATGATCTGATCTCGCGCGTCAAAAGGATAGAGGAAGAGATGAAGAAGGTTTTTCAACTCTCGGACTCGATCACTGGCATGCGAGATCACATTGCTGCTCAGGTGGACATCGCGGTTAAAAGCGGGATGGCAGATATTAGAATAAATGTAAATGGTCTTGAAAATTTGATTTGTGAGAAATTGGATAATATGAAAAGTTCATTTTTTAAAATTGAAGCGGAAAACCATTTAGCTGTAAAGAATGATCCGTGCAGTTCATCTAGGACGATTCAGTCGGAATCGGACAAAAATACCAGACGCAAAAAAACGTAAATTAGTAATTAGTAATAGTGATCATGATGATGATGTTGTTTTTCAAGAAAATGCGAGTTTTGCGGATGTTGTAAAAAGACATAGTCGTATTAGTCAAAGTAAAACTAATAGTAACAGTAATAGTAAAAGTAACAAACCAGAAAATCGTAAGACTCGTCCAGTCATTGTGATTAAACCGAAAGAGTCCAAACAACCTTGCGAAGATACTCGTAAGTTTTTAAAAACTCAGTTGGATCCAAAAACACACAAAATCAGTAATTTTAGGAATGGTAAAGATGGCTCCATTATTGTTGAGTGTGCAACAGGAGCAAACGTAAGTGATGTGAAAAATGGTATTGAAAGCAATCTGGGTGAAAAATATAGTGCTGTTGTTCCCACTTCGGTGCCTTCAGTTTTCCTCCGATGTCTTTATTGACTACTTAAAAAGTCAAAATGAAGACATCGCTATTAATGATGTAAAAGTAGTGAACATGTTTAAAAATCCACGCTTCACTTATAACAAGTTTAGTGTTGTAATTGAAGTCGATGTCGATACTTATAAATGTTTGTTATGTGCGAAAAAAGTAAATGTAGGGTTTGATCGGTGCTCGATAGTTCCCGCGATTAATGTGTTGAGATGCTTCAAATGTGGAGAATTTGGGCACAAGAGCATGGATTGCAAAAATTGTGATAGATGCTCTAGGTGCAGCCAACAACACAAAACGTCGGAGTGTACGTCAACTGTATTGAAATGTATTAATTGTTTGAAAATGAATAAAGAACGAAAAATGAACTTGGACGTCAACCATGCCGCATTTAGCTCGGAATGTTTGCTCTATAAAAGACTTTTTGATCAGAAGAAAAGCAGCTTGCGTTTCAATAAATAGCAGCCAAGTTCCAGGAATGTGAATCAATTCGATTTTTTATATTTGAATATTGCGGGGTTGTCAACAAACTACGTAGCATTACGTCAGATTGTTGAGGAAAAACGTCCTCTTTTAGTTTTATTATCTGAAACTCATATTGTAGAAACTGAAGCTTTTGATCAGTATAGTATTCCGGGATATATTGTTGCTGCTTGTTTATCACATTCTAGACACACTGGCGGTGTTGCTATTTATGTCAAAGAATCAGTTCAATTCAACCTTCGTACCAACGAAGTTATTGATGGCAACTGGTTCTTGGGCATTACAGTTGTACGTGGCATGAAGATGGGTAATTATGGTGTTTTGTATCATTCTCCCAGTTCTAGTGACCAGCGTTTTGTTGAAGTTTTAGAGAATTGGCTCGAGACATTCCTTGATTCTAGTAAATTAAATATATTGGCTGGTGATTTTAATATTAATTGGCGTGATAACCATAATTCGAATCATTTGAAGCGTTTAGCTGAGTTTTTTAATTTAAAGCAAACGGTAAATTAATATACGCGTATTTCCAGGCACAGTAGAACTTTAATTGACCACGTTTATTCCAATTTTGATTCCATTTGTTCAGTTACGGATACTGATTTGAAAATAACCGATCATGAGACTTTAGTGATTAATGTCTTAGACCATGTTAACGATAACGATAATTTTGTAAAATTGAAGTGCTGGAGGAAATATTCGAAGCAAGCTGTTTCAAACCTTGTTGAGAGAAGCCTGGATTTTCCATTCGCGGACGGTAACTTAGATGAATCTACAGCTGTTCTTAATAACGCTTTGAAAACGTGTACCAATCAACTAGTTGAGCAAAAGTTTGTTTCTTTGAAAAACTCGAACAGCTGGTACAATTTGGATCTTTTGCGTCTTAAACGGACAAGGGACAAATGGTACAAAAAGTTTTGTAGATCTAATAATGACAATCATTGGACTAGGTACACAATCGCGCGTAATAAGTATTCACAGTCGATAAAGAAAACTCGTTGTGAATATGTTCAAAGGAAGATTGATCAGCATCAAAACAACAGCAAAGAGTTATGGAAAATTTTGAAATCTTTATTAAAACCTAGTAATTGCAAACCGCAGTCCATAACTTTTAATGGCACATTAGAACAGTCAGAACAAGTAATTGCATCTAAGTTTAATGATTATTTCGTAGACAGTGTTTCATTGATTAATCAATCTATTGAATTGGTCGATGAACCTGACGAAATAAAACAGCCAGTTAATAGTAGTTGTAGATTTGAAGGTTTTCACCAAAAGATGAACTTAGAGTTATTTGCTTTTCATTGGGAAAATCGGCTGGAGTAGATAATGTTAATTCTAGAGTTATTCAAGATTGCTTTCATGTCATTGGCCACATCTTGCTGGACCTTATTAATGAATCTTTGCAGACTGGACATGTGCCACAAATTTGGAAGGAATCCTTAGTGGTTCCTATTCAAAAAGTTGCTGGAACGATTAAAGCCGAAGAGTTTCGTCCCATCAACAAGTTGCACACATTAGAGAAAATTTTAGAACTTGTTGTTAAAGGCCAGCTGTTGGAGTATTTGAATAGCAACTCTTTGTTGATACCAGAACAATCAGGATATCGGGATCGTCATTCCTGTGAAACTGCGTTGAATTTGGTGTTAGCAAAGTGGAAAGACAACTTGGAGCGTAAAGATACGATTGTTGCTGTTTTTTTGGATCTGAAACGCGCTTTTGAAACAATTTCTAGGCCCTTACTGTTAAGTACAATCAAGCGCTTTGGAATTACGAGTACTGCATATAAATGGTTTGAAAGCTATTTGTCTGACAGAACTCAACGGACTGTTTTTAATGATTCTGTTTCCAGTCCCGTGGGGAACAACCTTGGAGTGCCCCAGGGAAGTGTATTAGGGCCCCTTTTATTTATTTTGTATATTAATGACTTGCGACGTGTTTTACGATTTTGCGACATTAACCTTTTTGCAGATGATACTGTGTTATTCATTGCAGCTAAGGATTTAGAAGTTGCCGTCTCACACTTGAATGAAGATTTGCAGTATCTAAGTAGATGGTTGAAGTGTAAGCAGTTAAAATTGAATACAAGTAAAACTAAATTTATGGTAATTTCGCGGAATCGATTAA